TTATTGGGGTCTTTACTTATTTGGTGCATAGCTAAATATATATATTTTCTTTAGTTTATAGTTTGTAGTCAAACTAAAGGTTTTTAAAATTGGGCAAATTCATCGAACCGTTGACCTACATGTCTAGTGATTTACCAGCACAATATCCGTGTGCTTGTTGAAAAAGGGGAAAACTACATTTTTAGTTCTGTTGGTTTAATGTCGTAGTATTTTTAGTCTCAAGATTATGTGTGTGTTTGGAAACACTTTTGAAATGGGCTTCTAGACTTAAAAGTCCATCTAAATAATTTTAGGGTGTTTGGTGATTTATATTGAATGCACTTTTAAGAAAAGTCACTTCTCAATAAGTCCATTTTGTAGAAGTGAGAATTAGCTACTTCTAAAATCTATTTCACAATTATTCCCAATAAGTAACTAAAGCACTTATTTAAAATGAGATTCACCAAATATATGTAAAAATTGTGTAAGAACTTTTGTAAATGCACTTAATGAAAAGTCCATTTTTAAGATGGACTTTTGTAGAACAAGTGCTCCCAAACAAAGCCTATAACTTTTTGCTTTTTGATCATGTAATTTAGTATTTTGTTGTAATATCAGTTCGTAAATAAATAATTAATCACACCAATCGTAATCAAGGTTTGATGTAATTGACCTAAACATGCTCCCTAAGTCAATCTATGAGCTAGTTTCTAACACTCGAAACAACTGAACTTGCAAAAAATTAAAAATAAAAATAAAAATAAAAATAAAATAAAATTACAGGACTTAAATTGCTAATTAAAAATTCATTCGAAAGATATTTTATTAGCAATTTAAGTTCTCTAATTTAAAATTTTGTTGCAATTTTAGTCCTCAAAGGACTGAAATTGCGTTGAATTATAAATCATAGGACGAAGTAACAGCATGTTAAGATCTTATGACTAAAAACACCACCGGATTAAACCAACAAGACTAAAATTGTAATTTTGCCGTTGAAAAATTATACTTTAAAAAGTAATAGTGTAATATTCGCGTGTGTATTACATAGGTACTTTTTAAAAAATATAAATAAATTTAAAAAGTAATAAAAACTGTATGTATTAAATTTAAATGTTTTTTGAATAAAATATATTATTACTACA